ATTGGCCAGTTTCTTTTTCCTTTTCATACATGCAGTGATCCCGAAAGTGTGTGAGAACAAGGGCAAGCATAGGCACCCCTTGCAGAATGTACTCTTGGCCATTTTCAAACACAGAATGGTTTTTCTGAAACCGCCACCCACTAAACGCAAAGAGTTCTCAGAGCTGGGAAGGGCAGGAAGGCAATGGAAAAGCTCCTCAAAGGGCAAGATTCTTCCACCTTCCACCAGTGAGGAGATGCTCATTGGTACAGTGTAAACATTCCTGTGGTTGGAAGTTTCTCATTACGGTTGTTGTTAACCCTGAACGAAATGTAAGAGAAACGCCACAGTCTGTAGGTGAATCACTCAACTGTAAAGAAGATTCCATGTGCACAGGGAAATGGAATCCATAAATGCCAAACACTTCGTTAAGACCACTGTGAGGGACTTCTATTCTCCAGAAGAGATTCTTTAAAAATACATTTGGAATAAAGGCTAAGGAGAGGGGAGGCAAGCTCGGGAGGAAAGGTGGGAGGGTAGAAAAGAAAGGGAATAGTGTGTTAAGGAAGCCAACAGGAACGACGCCTCATGTGTGAGTTGCAACTGGAAAACTAAACAATATTTTGTTTTTCATCCACCTACATTAGCTGTAAACGTTGGTGCCATTAGAATCTGTTTTCAGGGGTGGAGACAGATTTTCCTTTTCTATCTACTGATCTTCATGTAATCAGTGTAGGAAAACAGAGGGGGAAGATGAAATTTTTTCTATGTTTTTCTTTTTAACGTTAGAGATAAGTGACTTCAACTACTCAGAATGTAGACTCTTGCAGGGAATTTTAAGATCATCCCAATATACTGTGGTTGCTTAGATTTGGTGGTGCCAGGTACGTTTAGTGGCAAAGTAAATGCTTCCCCAGCACTGACTTCATGGAAGTAATCAGATTGCTTCCACTGTGCAATGTGTAAAGTTTTTACTCCGGCCAAGAGCTTGAAGCCAGATGGGGGTGTGCCAGATGAAAATAGAAGAAAGGAAACAACCGTGGTGATTGCTGTTACAGCAATGAACACTTCACCACATCTGGGCTAGCGAAATGAAGAAAACTGAAACCCCCTCTATTACTCACCAAGACAATTTTGTGTGTCTCTTCAAGAAACCCTTGTTATTATATTATTGGTTAAAAGCGTGCCACCCCTTAGAAACACGTCAGCTTCAATAAGCATAGGCACCTCTCAGCCAGTTTTTAAAGGAAAAAAAAATGTACCTGCAGAAGTAACTACTTTTAGAGTACCTACTTTTTTATTTGGAGGATTTTTATCTTTAGGCCTCTCACACAATCCGGGTTAAAACTCATGTTTCATCTGGCTATGAATTTCAATCCTGCTGTGTGGGCTGTGTTCACTATTATAAACTACTTCAAGGAAACTGCCCTTAAACAGTGACTTGGTCAAATGGCTGATTAAGTATTGCTTCTCTAAGATCGGTGTGCCTAGTGTAGGTATCCGGGAAGCCCTCCAATACCACCGTCAGGCATTGTGAAATTCAGCTATTCCCGTATGTGCTCCAGAGACGGGCTTCAGACACAGAACAGTCTGGAGAACTCTCGCTCTAAAGAACAAAGGACAAATACAGTCAATACATTCCATAACGTTTACATTTCCTTTGCTTTTCCCCCATGGTTTTCCCTGAGAAGGAGTGACCTGGGCAAAGCACCCTGCTCTCTAAAAGGCACTGTATAGACCTTTTAGAAGCGCAAAGTCCAAGGCCGAGGTGAACTTCAGGTCAGCGCGTCTAACAAATATGAAAATGTCGGCTGGTGAAGGGCGCGCCTTGTGATTTAACAAAGACTGTCAATGTGTAAGATTAATAAGAAACAAAATGCACACGGTGTCACTGTTCGGTCACTTTGAAACTTGGGACAGGGTTGCATTCAAGAGGGAAGGCTGTTCCAAATATATTCAAAATGATTCAAATCAGATTCAAACTAGGCTGCAAACACTGCTTCCCTCTCGCCCTCCCTCTCCCTTAGACTCCCTTCGCTCTCCTCTTCCATCTGGGATCGAGGACATGATGAAAAGTTATTTCACTTAATGGGATTTTAAGAAAGCTTTTGTTGGGAATATATGTTATCTCTGCACGTGGAAATGAGCAAACGCGCTCACCAGTTTCCCAAGAAAAGGATAACGCTTTCACCCTGCTAGGGACTGGAGCCAGTTGGTGTGCGAAGATTAGCATGCTCTCTCTCTGCTCGATTTCAGGGCATCCCATCTTTTCTCGGGCGAGATGCTGCGGGTAAACTACAGTTTATTTATTAATTGAGCTAGTCTCTTCCTGGCGTTACTTTGGTGTGTTGGATCTTATGTAAAGGCAAGAGGTGTGTGTGTGTGTGTGTGTGTGTGTGTGTGTGTGTGCGCGCGCGCGCGCGCGTGCTTTTTAAAGTGTTTTTCAAAAGATTATTTGATTCACTGGAACAACGCTATGGCTTGCAAAGAGAGATTGTGGAAGGATCAGAAAAGGTACTGCGATTGTTTATTACAGCCATAAATCTTGCAGTAAAATGTCAAAATGTCGGTGTGTGAGATAACACTTGGTGGTCCTGGCTCCGTTTGTGTTTATGATAGGAACCACAAAGACAAGTTACAGGCCTTGGGGGATTCTGTGTAAGCCCATCTTCCTAAAGTAATAGAACCACATAAAACACAGGCACAGTTAACTCGTTTAGGTTAACCATACACAAAACAGTGCCTGTGCCTCATTAATACTTTAAAATAGAAACTCGGTGGAAGGTTCTGAGGCTAAACAACATGAATTTTGTGTTTTAGTGTCTGTAAATAATACTAAACAGACATAGTTAAGACCCTAGTACTCGAGGCTGACGACATAAGGAGGAGGGCAAAATTTCCTTGTCATTCCCACCCCCCAAGCTTGGAAAGCCATGTTCTATAAATTATATTATGTATGTACATACTGTTCATATAAAATAGCATATATGTATGTATTATTTTTTCTTGCTGTAGAGAAATACAGACTTAGGCAGCTGTATCACAGGCTAGATTTTCCTCCAACTCTAGAGAGGCTGTCTAAAGATTGATTTCGGTCTGTGGCTCAGATTTCATTAAAAATATTTCAGGGTGCCCCATGCCGATGGACAGCACTCTTCAGAGATCCACATCCAATGTGGAAAACCTCTTTGTACTGCTTCAGGGTGACTCCAGTTGGAAAGCTAACATGATCCCTTTTTTAACCTCTTTTCCTAAATTAGTTTAAAGATTAGTCCCATATAATAGGCTTTATGTGGCTAAGCATTAAATGACTATCCATCAAATGGATATATTCCAGCATTTAGTAACTCATATGAGTAACCGATATAAATGAAGATAGAATTGACATTCCTTTTGAAGTATCTCCAGGCTGAGGCTATAACTTTCCTTGTCTGCGGTTGAGACTCAGTTGTGAGAAGGCTGTTTATACTGCTCTTTGAAAAATCAACTAAGGGGTGCACCAGCTGAAAACTCCTTGCTTTGCATGCCAATATGAAAGTATTTTTAGAATGGTGACTATGCTAGTTTGCACTGCTTTAATCTAGGCTGAAAAGTAGAGGATCCAGGTGTGTCTGTTACTCAGGAAAAGAGAGGGAAAGTACACACTATGAGTAAGGCGTCGTCAGTATTTACTTCAAAGATCAACATTAGGTGGAATTAATAAGTAATTTATTTCTTAATAATGGCGTAATTAGTTTACCCATCAAATTTCAATTACCAAATGGCAGGCAACAGTCCTCTCCCCCCTCTTGCCAGAGCTACTGATATAGTTAATATGCTAATTTTCAGCAATTCAGAAATTATAGACCGTCCTGTAGATATCACGTTAGCCTCAGATACAGCCTCAGAAAGCAGGATCCAAAAGACAAAATGCAGAATTCTTAGCGGGAAAAGACCCGTCAGCGATCAGACTGGGCACAGTGTCTATTCTGTCCTTAGCTTGTTTTTGTTTGGGGATTGTTCTGAAATAGGAAGTTGTTGGTTTTGAAGCTCGATTTTGTGGAGGCGGCGCTGCTATCTGTTCTCATCCTTGGGCTGCCTTCTCTCTCACGGTCGCACCTAGTAAATGCAAGCATGGTGAAGTCTCATACCGACACCTCCGTTAAAATGAGATGCTATTAGAAAAGTTTTGATTTTTCTTAGGAAAAAAATTAAGCAGATTCTGTCTCTAAAAGGAAGGAAAAATGAAAAATGCCCACCCGGTTATATTGCAATGGCCTTGCTCCTCTGGCCGATTTCTCTCAGCTGTTCACCCACCCACCCTTTGCGGCTCCTGCCGGGCTTCTCCAAGCAAGGGATCTCGGGCGGACTCGGCGAGCGCGATGTGGGGAAGGGGATCAGCTGGTGAAAACATGGATCTGTGGGCCTTATTCGTTTTATTCCGGGGCCACGCTTAAAATCAGGATATCTCCTTGGTCCTGACGCCATTCCTTCCCCCGCCGGCCTCGAACCCTAGAAGACGCCAGGGCAAGCTAGGCTGGGCCCGAGGTCAGCGATGGGCCGCGACCACTCGGCTGCCCCGAGGCCTAGACCAGGAGTACCGCACGCAAAGGGCCCGGCTTGGGCTTTCGAAAGGACCAGAAGCCCTGGCGGGCCCCGAATTGTCAGCAGGACCCAAAGTTGGGGGGTTGGGGGGACCAAAGCTCCGGCTCCCTCCCTTCGCCCGGGGCCGGACAGCAGCATCCATCACCCGCCCGCGCGCTTCCTGATCCGGGTCCGCGCGCGCGGCGCGCCCATTGGCGGGGGCGGGTCACGTGGAGGTACTAGGCGGGGCGCGCGTGGGGCCGAGACGAGCGCGCGCGCGTGCGCGCGCGGGGGGGAGGAGCGGCGCGAACTTTGGTGGCATTGGCGGCGGCGGGAGGGGGAGGGGAGGGGAGGGGTGGGCGCTTGACAGCGGGGGAGGGGAAGGGAGCTGAGGAAAGGGGGGGATGGGAAGCGAGGCAGGAGGGGGAGGGGCCTCGGCGAGCCCAGAAAAACGACAACGCGAGAAAAATTAGTATTTTTGCACTTCACAAATTAATGACCATGAGCTCGTTTTTGATAAACTCCAACTACATCGAGCCCAAGTTCCCTCCCTTTGAGGAGTACGCGCAGCACAGCGGCCCGGGCGGCGGAGACGGCGGCCCAGGCGGGGGCCCCAGCTACCAGCAGCCCCCAGCGCCCGCGGCCCAGCACCTGCCGGCGCAGCAGCCCCAGCTCCCCCACGCGGGCAACAGCCGCGAGCCCCCCGCCTCCTACTACGCACCACGGGCCGCCCGCGAGCCCTCGTACCCCGCGGCCGCGCTCTACCCCGCGCACGGTGCAGCCGAAGCCGCCTACCCCTATGGCTACCGCGGTGGCGCCAGCCCCGGGCGGCAGCCGCAGCCCGAGCAGCCCCCGGCGCGAGCCAAGGGTCCTGCGCACGGCCTGCACGCGAGCCACGTCCTACCGCCCGGGCGGCAGCCCCCGCCGCCGCCGCCGCCACCTCCCCCGCAGCATCGCGCGGCGCCCCCCGCACCCCCGCGGCGTTGCGAGGCGGCTCCAGCCACCCCGGGCGTCCCGGCAGGGGGCAGCGCCCCCGCGTGCCCGCTGCTCCTGGCCGACAAGAGCCCGCTGGGCCTGAAAGGCAAGGAGCCCGTGGTGTACCCCTGGATGAAGAAGATCCATGTCAGCGCCGGTATGTGGCGCCGCTGGAGAGGCGCGGGAGGGTGGTCTGGGGCCGGGTCGGGGTTCGGGGGTCGGGGCTCGGGTCAGGAGGAGAGGCCGAGGGGAAGGGGGCCTCTGGAGGGGAGCCCCCATCTGGCCCAGGCTACAGTGGGATGTGGGTGTGTGCGCGCCAGCCAGCCGCCTGATCCTAACGTGAGAACCCTTTTGTACCCGGGGTCCCTTTATCGAGAGATTTACGAGACGCCAAACTGTTAGGGCAGTAATTATAGCCCCCATAAATTTAATTGCCCTGGCAGAGGCTTCAGGCCATGTGTCTTTGAAGCTTTTCTTCAGCCCCAATGCCCAGCACCATTCTTTATGGCTCTCGGGTGTTTCCCGTTGTCAATAGCCTGTGAAACATTTTCTTTGCCGTTTTATGTATCTTGCAGTGAACTTGGTGTCAGGTTATTATATAATGATGATGTCCAATTGCTCTTCCCCACCCCACCTTCTCTCTCCTCCTCCTTTCCCTCTCTTCCACTCCCTCCTCCTTGGCATTCTCCTTCGGGGTTATGGGCTTTCAGTCAACCCCAGTTATAACGGAGGGGAGCCCAAGCGCTCTCGAACCGCATACACCCGACAGCAGGTCTTGGAGCTGGAGAAGGAGTTCCACTTTAACCGCTACCTGACCCGGCGGCGCCGCATCGAGATCGCCCACACGCTCTGCTTGTCCGAGCGCCAGGTCAAGATCTGGTTTCAGAACCGGAGGATGAAGTGGAAGAAAGATCACAAATTGCCCAACACTAAGATGCGATCCTCCAACTCGGCCTCGGCCTCAGCAGGCGCGCCAGGGAAAGCACAAACTCAGAGCCCGCACCTGCATCCCCATCCCCACCAGGGCGCCTCAACACCCATTCCCTCCTCCATATAATCCTCAGAGATCTAGACCAGTTTCCTCGCCCCAACCTGTTCTTCTCCTCTCTTCTGCCCCTTTCCCCATACTCCTGCCTGTCTGGACTGTAAGAGACCCCCAAACAAAACTCAACGTGGTGAAAAGGATAATAAAAAAGAAGACAGTATCCCCAAAAGAGTGGGTGCTGGTTGCCACCTAAGGGCAGACAATAGCCAGGATGCTGGCTGGCCTGAACAAGGCTGCCAGGTTTGGGTACCTGAGGAGGACCACTTGGCAACTAGTACTTTTGAGATGGCTAAAGTCAGCTGGACAGCCCGTGCTGACCGGGGACATAGACATGTATGTTTGTTGCAAGCAGAAGAAAACGGACCCTTTTCCCACCTTCCCTATCACTCCCTTCCACATTAAGGCAGCTCCTACAAGCTTGTGTTGAACTGAACAAATGAGTAGACATTGTGGACCTCACAAGATTATTTAATTCTCAAAATGTATAGACCTTGACGGTAGACGTGACACATGTTAGTTTCCTTTCCTTGCATTTATTTAAAATATTGTTGTAGAGATATTGTTGTCTTACTCTGAGGCACAATCTCCGGGGAGAGGGGAGTGCATTTCGACCCATGTGCAACTGTACAAATTGTGGTGTGGCTATATAAAAAGCCATGTGCTAAGAATAAACTCTGTTTTAAAAACCATTAAAGTTCTAAGACACATTTGTGTGTTTCCTACTTTTAATTAAAAAAAAAAAAAAACTTCTCTGGACTGAGATGTTTGACCTTGTGTGTGAAAGTCTTGTAGATGGCTCAAGTTATGTTCACTTGGATTCTGACTGCTCACATAATTTGTGTGAGTGTATTCAACTTGAGCTGAACTCTTGTCAAGTTTGACCCACTGTGGGAAAAGTTCCAAGGAGCAGGAAGGCTCTTGAGCTCTGAGAGGGCTCCTCTTCTTCCCAAACTTGGCCAGGCTTTCAGGCTTCAAGTCTCTGTAAGGCATAGAAACGTGTCCTTCCCTGCAATGAAAGGTGAAACCACTCAATGCTTCGGGCCCAGGAGTTTCTGCAGCTGTTCTACAGGCTGAACTCTGAGCACACTTGGAAAGAAGTGGTCCCATTGGTATTTATTGCACCTTCACACTTAATCTGCCTGTTTCCCTGGAGATAAAAAAAAAAAAAGTTTGTGCAAAGAGTTGAGATTGCTTTTTTGTTTCTTGGCTGTCTTTAAGGTTGTCTTCACTACAGCTTTGGGGTTTTTGTCTTTACCTCTTCTTAAGTGAGAGCTTTCAAAATAAACTGAATTTCCCTAATAAACCCTCCAGAGTTTCTTCTGAGGAAAGAAAAGGCATAATGGCACCCTCAAAATATACCCCAAGCAAGGGAGTCCTGGGAGCATTCAGTGCTGGGAGAAAGTTCAACTCTGAGCTATGGTCACTGTTCTTAAATACTCCTGGATCCTATTGCCCAGCCTAAAGATCTAGATCCAGAGGCTGAAAATCAAAACCCAGGCCTTAGTCTCTATCACCCTAGTATGCATTTACTGATTTATAAATCAGTAAAGAGGATTTAGACAGGGTTGTCACTGGAGTAGTCTGCACCAAGATGCAGAAAGTGAACACACGCCAGCCCTAGAATATAACTGTCACCCGGCCTTAAATGAGTGCGACGTTAGGTTCCTGTTATAATTTTAGCAGAGATGGGAGGGGGCGCTCACCTACCTTTGGAATATCAGAGGAATTTTAAGCACATCCCCCCCCCCCCGCCCCCGTCATTGGCAACCCCTTAGCCAGCGGGCAGTGCTGTTCCTCCTCTTGCCCGCTGCTGCCCTGTGTGTGACACAGGCAAGGGTGACCGGTTCTCTACCTATGAACAAACCGTATCTGAGAGGAGAGTGATGGACACCGGTCTCTGCCGGGCCTCCGCCTCTCCCCAAGAAAATTCAGGAGCAACCAAATGCATGCCTTCCCAAGTCGGGGTCAGACGTGGCATAACGTGCACTTCATGCGGTGTGAATGGTGCGGTGCCAGGGGTTTCTGGAGACACTGCAACTGCTGCTGAAACTTATTAACCCTCCCCCTGCTACACGCACTTGTAAAACGAAATTAAATCACGCTGAAAATAGCAATTTTCCCAAGAATCATTAATCACCTCATACAATAAATACTTCTTTGTAATTCAACAGCAATTCTGAAAGGCATTCTCTGGGAAAAGTCTGTGGAGAAGCGAGGGATCTTCTTGCAAATAATATGGTCTCGGGCAAAGACGCAGCATCTTGGCTGTCAGCTCAAAAAATGCCTAGACTCTTGGTGGAAACTGAGTGTCGAGCTGCAAAACCTCAAATGGCAGATTGTCATCATTTAAGGTAAATTCTTATGTTTCTCCTTTGTAGGGAAGGAGGGGTATAGAGGCATTCATTCCCGCTTCATACTGGAGGCAGTTGTGTGGGGGGTGAAGGGGGTAACTTTCTTTCACTTACGTGATAGTCTATCCAGGAAAGGAAGAGAAAGGATGGACAGACTGTTTTTCTAATATACCGGGACAAAATGGCATTGCTGTCTAAGCTGTCTTAATTATTAAGGTATTGGTGAGTGTTACAAAGCCAGGATGATCCAAAATGACCCAAAGGATTGTGTCATTTCTTTAGTGTTTTTCCTGGTTTAGATTTGGTCTTTAAGGGAGCTTGTTTTAACAGCTCAGAAAAATCCCACTTTGTGCTTTAAAATCATGCATTGTCTTCCCTTTGCTAGGGCAACCATAAGAGTTCACCCAGAGGACAAATTTTCTATCTCATTAATTGTTTTTTTTTTTTAAAGCGAACCCTAGTGGCCCCTCAAACCCTTGACCTTTAAAGACAGTATTTTGTGTAAGCTCTATAATTCTCCTACCAAAATGACCCTTACACATGCTCTCTTCTTCTTTTTCTCTCTCTCCCTTCTTCCCTCTAATACACACTCTTTGGCTTTAGTCACAGAGCCAAGCTGTGCATGACTCTGGAGATAAAAGTTTTGTCAACATCTGAAATCAACCTAAATCGGATAGGAGACACTTTAATGGTCACAGTTTGAATTAAGTACTTAACACTCTCCCCCCTGAAGAAAAATGGCACTTTGCAGGCTCTCTTTCCTAGTTTTGCTGAAATCTACGATATACCCGGTGTTTTATTACAGCGGGAATTCAACTGTGACAGGCATAGTAGAGTACTTAATACCCAGGATGGGGCTCATGGGAAGATTACCTAGATATATGGGGAGTGGGCCCTCTGCACAGAATCTCTGACTTTATACCCAGCTATTCGAGGGTGCCCACATCCTTCCCCCACCCTCCCCACCTCTTAGCTTCCTCCCAGAGGGGTGGGTATCTCCATCTCTACTCTGTACCTTTGCTCTTCTAAGCTTCCAAATGAGGCTGCTCTTCTCACCACCGCCTTCCCTCCAGCAATTGCAACACAGAAATTGACCAAGGACTCTTTAGAATGAAGGGGGGGGGGGAGACCCCAAAGGATCAAACAGAATGGGGAGAGGGCTTCCTTTCTGAATGGATGGGTTCTGTGCAGGGAGTAGGCTGTTCTTTGCACCCCCTTGGTCTCCATCCCTAGGCTAGCTGCAGTCCTGTGTTGAAGAACACAGGCTTACCCTTCCCAAGAGTGTTCCTGTTGCCCCTCTTCTATATTATACACCAGGGCCCAAGAAGAACTCTGCTTCCTCTCTCAAAGGCCAAGGGCTAGGGAAAATAGGAGGAGGAAAGGATGTGGGTTCTCACTTCTTGTTGGAATCAGGGAGGCTGCTGGGGCTGTCATGAAACATTCTAGTCTGAAACTTCTCTCTTGGAATTCTGGCATCACTTCTTCCCAAGGCCCCACACTCATGGAGTAACTCCCACCAACCCGTTAGGCCAGCTCCCCTCTCTCTGGGCTTGATTTCTGGGGCTAAAAGAAATCCTTGTTGGAAAGAATGTCTGAGGTGAAAGAGATTTGGAGGCCATTTTGGTTTAGTCTTCTCAGTTTACCTACCCAAGAAGAAACTAAGGCAGCTGAATGTTCCCCCACGTATGTGTTAGTGAATGTGCTGGTTGATTAGAGCCTTTGGTCTCACCTTGGAGAGGGGTAAGTGCACAGGCATCTTTCCTCTGGGGAAGCCTATTCCACCTGGAATGGACCTGTATCTGGGCTTACCTTTGACAAGGATGGCCACAGGTGTGCTGCCCGGCCAGGGAAGTAGGGTGGGTTCTTGCCTGAAGCGCCATCAGAGCGGTCCCAGGAGATTAGGTAACCAAAGCTCCTTAGCCAGGGCACTGACACAGGTGGGCTGGCCTCTGGGCCCAGGAGGGGACAGATGCCTGGGAGAGCGGTGGGCACCTCACTGTCCAAAATGCTCATAGTTCCAGAAGGACTAATTCTATGCTGGCCCTGGGATTTCCATGGCAGTCGCTGGCCCTGGAATTGAGGAAGGGGCAAGGAGCGTTCTGGAGGCCTGGGAACTAAGAAAGCCAAACAAGGACCGTCGTTGCAGCAGATAAAGGTGTAGCGCCAGTTCGAGGGAGATATTGAAATTGTAATCTTTTGAGGTCACGTGACTCATTAAATAATTAATGCGGATCGTCAGGAATGGATCGGAGTCGTCAGGGCCACACTAGGAATGAATCTCTCAGAAGTGAGACCCCAACTTCCTATTTGATTTTTAAAAACACACACCCTCAGATTTTTCTCCAAAGGCTTTTAACTCCTTCAGGAGGTTTGAAGAGAGAGCTCTTCGGCGGGGAGGACCGGAGCTGGCGGGCCCGCGCTGGGTTTGGGGGCTTTTTCTTCAGGGTTTCTGCAAGTGCGGGGAGCGCGCCGCGCCGGGCAAACGTGAGTTTGGGCTGGGTTTCCTGCGGTCACATCCCGGCTTTAGTGATGAAGTGGGACGGAGGCGCAGACAGTTGATAATGTTCCGATTCACACTGGGGAAGGCCTCAGAGATACCACAGGACCGGGCGCGCGGCTTTGTTCAATTTTCCCGGTGTTCATAAATCACCCGCGCCGGGCGAGCGAGGGAGCAAGCGAGCGCCAAAAACGCCGAGAGAGAGGCCGCGGCGGCGGCGGCGGCCATTGCAGCGGGAGAGACCTGGGCAACATCTCTTTG